AAAAATATAAAATGTATTAAACCTGATAACTCTGAATTAGTAGAAGGTAGACTCGACACTATGCTCACCCATTTCAGACCTCGGTAAGTTCATCTTACCTTATTACATTTCATATACGACAACTTGAGTATCACACATCATTTACGCCGATTCCGGATCAACAAAGATCACAAAGTCAATAATCGCATGGAACCTTCGGATGGTGTTTTGACTTGACGAAAACTTGCAAGTTTTGCAGTCTAATTTGGGGGCCCCGTTCTAAAAGATAACCAAGGTTAATAGAGGCGCACAAAACCGCGTTGGTTCTTCTGTCTACCCCTGGTAAGTGGTAACATCCTCTTCTGTGTTCCCCACATTATGCATACCATCTTCACTTCTATACAGACCAAATCAATTTCAGATAAAGAAAGAGAAATTGAGAAAAAGAGAGAGAAAATGAGGCTTCTCAGTTTACTGGATGAAGAGAAAGAAGAAGAGTTACAAAAGGAGAAAGCAAGAGAGTTTAAACTCTATGAAGCAGCCATGAAGGGCACTGTAACATCTCTCCTAAGCCTTCTTCATGAAGACCCTCTGATCTTCAACAGAGCCACACCATCCTCAATCTCCGATTCACCGTTGCACGTTTCAGCTCTTCTGGGTCACCTCGAATTCACTAAAGAACTACTGAGTCGAAAGCCCGAGTTGGTCAAAGCGTTGAACTCAGACGGTTCATCCGCGCTTCACGTGGCAGCGGCAAAAGGGTACGTGGAGATAGTGAAAGAACTGTTGGTGGTAAATCCTGATATGGGTTTTGTGTTGGATCATAGTGGGAGGACTCCTCTACATCTGGCTGCGATCAAAGGACGAGTTGGGGTATTGACCGAGTTGATCCGGGTTAAACCGGAGGCGACTCGGAAGTTGACCCGTTGGGGAGAGACTTGTTTGCATTTGTGTGTGAAATATAATCGTTTGGAGGCTTTGAAGGTTTTGGTGGAAAGCCTAAAGAAAGATGATCAGTTTGTTAATTGGAAGGATGAAAATGGTAGCACCATATTACATCTTGCTGTGGCCAATAAACAGGTCGAGGTATGTTCTCATCGCCACTTCTTTCAAGATAAAATCTTGAAATCTTCATTTCTGTTGTATGGTATAGGCTTCCGAGAGTAATCATGATTATGTATGGTTTGGTGATAACACTTAAAGAAACAATCCTCAGGAACTAATTAGATCTTATTTTGATTCATTTTGACCATAAAAATAATAAAGTAAAGTAAAATAAAATAAAAAATTTATACTTGCCAGTTTCTCATTGAATAAAAAAAAAGGAGCCACATTAAAAAATAACGTAATCGGCCCATGATTTTCAAGAAGTTGTCAATAAGATAACTCTTGAGGCCATTGGATAAGTTGATTGAGTAGTGTTTGACGGTCTATAAGATTCTTTTTTTTGGAAGAGCTTGTTGAAGGTAAAGAATTAGTTCGGGCGGTCTTTATGTACGAGGTGCATTAGACGATGTCGAGCTTCGATTATGCCATCAAAGGAGTCATGTTGCTTATTGGTTGTTTCGGCTTTGGTCTTTGAGGATAATGGTCTATTTATTATGGTGTTATCAAATATATTATACATTGTTATATAATTGATTTTTTTTTAGTAGATATATCGTCACAAATACAACACAACCGTAAAATAACACGATTTAAAGATGGCACAATTCATACTGATACGATTTGACGATGACGTAAACTGACTTAGCCCCAGCCCATATTTCTCTTTTTCCTATTGTTATCAAATTCTTTATCCCATCACAACAAATCAGCAATAGGGACAAATATTCAATATAATAGTAACACCACATTATTACCACTATCAAGGGCAGAGTCAGGAATATCTATGAGAGGACAAAATATGACTAAAATTAATTCATTGGTTGATACAAAAAAAATTAAGTTCAAGAATAACAAAAAATAAAAACTTAAAATAAAATTATTATGAAATATTAAATTCAATTTTTATTTACCCAAAATAAAATGTGAACAAAAAGACGCAATAACTTTTTTAGTACATTTTAACCCAATTATATATTTCAAAAAAAAAAATACAATGTTCTTTAAAATTTGTAACATTTTATATCTTAATTAAGTGTAAATTAATTTCCTACCAATGTGCACAATTAAAAGTCCATAGGAAAATAATTCTTCATTTAATTGTGAAACCTTGTTGAGATTGTTATCAATTTTCTAGGGAAATTTTATATTTGAAATAGCTTAAAAAAAAATTTTGTTTAAACATTTTGTCTTTCATATCCAATCGTATTTTATTAGATTCTAGACTATTATTACTAAAAAACATGATAAATGTCAATTAAAAATTGTTTTTAAGAAGTATCGAACATTGTATTAAATAAATTGTAGTATTATCTTTTGGTCAATATACAAATAGATTAGGATAATTATATCTGATTTGCTCAATTCAAAATAAAATATTT